AAGCATAGTTTCCATGGCAAAGGAAGACAGTGGTTGCGAGTGGCGCCCGATTCTATGTCCTTTTTGCCACGATGATTCAGGGAACCGCTGCAGTTGTGGGGCAGGGGAGGACTGGATGTGATCCTGATGACATTAACAAGGATATCCTTGGGTGTGAGAGAGAGAGATCACCCCAGCTTCTCCCAGTCTGCTGGGGTGCCACTGGAAGGGACTGGGATTGCAGGAACTCTAGTTTAAAGCATGTTAGCTTGCAGTGCTGGGTTAGGGGAAGAATCCAGCTTCCCCCCCAATTATTTTAAAAAAGTTTGTTACAGAGCCATCACACCCTTTTATTCAAGTGATGTTTTTCAAGGACTTCTTTATTTTTAAAATGAAAAATTAGAGCCGGAAAAGTGTTTTAACATTAATTAAAAGATTGATTAACACATGCGTGTTTGCACAAACTCACGCGTGGCTGGTAAAATGGGGCGCACACACTGGCTGGACGGCGGCTGTGTCTGGTTGCTTTTTTCTCCCTCCCCACAGTCTACATTTTTCAAGCTTTGCCCCCAAGCAAGTACAGGTAGTCCTCGGCTTATGACACAGCTGAGGTCAACATTTCTATTGCTGTTAAGTGGGTTTGGGCCCATTTTACCACTTCTCTTGTTAAGTTGTTAAGTGAATCACTGCAGTTGTGAAGTTGGATCAAATGTAGGGGTGTGGGTTCTTGCCACGCCCAAGATTTGTGGATCCCTCAGTCCGAAAAAGTCCCTGGGTCTAAAAAAAATAGAGCGTGTTTCTCCAGCTCCTGGGTCTCTTCTCTTCCCTTTTCAAGCAAATGTGACCTCTTTATTGCTGGCTGGCTGGATGCAAAACTCAGCTACAAGGAAAATGTGTGGTGTGGCTCTGAATGAACTTCTTCTTGTCCAACTGAGAGTTAAATCCAGAGGCTTTTCCCCCCCCCAAAAAAAACCGTGAAATTGGCCCAAGAGGGAGCAGGGGAGAAAGAAAGGGGGCAGGGGAGCCCCCCCATCAATCCCCAAAGGAAAAATGTCAGGGAGATGGAGAAAGAAGCAGGAAACAGAGAAGATAAATGCGGGCAAAGAACGGGAATGTGCCAAAGAAGACGGAGGAATTGACCACAGAAGCATGCATGGAATTTCAGCTGCAGAAAGAGAAGGACGCTTGGGTTTTTGTGCACCTCATTCCAGACACTGTCTAGACTCCAGCAATTATTGTCAGCAGTCCCAAACACCCAGAGTCTGCTTGCCATTTCGGCTGAAAAGGCCTTTAAGAAAGAGAAAGAAGAAGAAAGAAAAGGAGATGAGGGGAAGGAAGGGAGGAAGGAAGGAAAGAAGGAAGGAAGGAAAGAAAAGAGAAACTGGACAGCCATTTGACCAGGATGCTCTAGGTCTCCTGCTTGAGCAGAGGGTTGGATTAGAAGACCTTCAAGATCCCCTCCAACTCTATTATTCTATGTTCTAAAAATTCAAGGCAGGAGAGAGTCCACCATAGTCTAGGACAATGTCCAGCACCAGGGCCATCAGGAAATCCAGGCAGTTCAAATATTTATTGCAAGCTTATCCTCTCTAGAAGAACCTCGACTACTAACTGTCAAAGCAAACTGGTGGTAGATAAGAGTCAGTGAGAGACCCCCACCCCCCAGCTCAGCCTGCTCCTCTCCTACATCTGATCTGAGACAATCTTCTAAAACTTCAGCCAAACCTTCTCAGCTAACCTTCAAACCTGTGAGATTTGGGTCCCCTACCTTGTTGAGTAAATAATATCCTGATATAAAATTTACTGGAAACCAATTTCATTCCATGATCAACCACTTTAGAGCTTCAACAATCCTCCCCAATTTAGCATTTAAGTTTCATCAAGCCGTTTAACAAGCCCAAGAAACTTCCGGATCAAGTTTTGATGGAGAAGCTTTGCATTCACGCTCAGTCTAATCTACAGTCAAGGCACAAGAGCAATTTAATGTGCAGAAAGCTTTGGATTTTTTATTTTTATTTTTTGCTAAGCATCTCATATTTTATGCACCACCTACTGGATTTTTCTTGTTTTGCATCCTGATGAAACAAGAACAAAAATAATAGGTCACAGAGAGTTGAGCTTGGGGGGAAAAAAATAACTGATTGAAATTTAGGAGAAATTACTGAGGGAGGAGGAATTAAATGGAACATTTCCATTTATTAGGATTGGGAACCTGAAAGACAATTTTGTAGATCTCTGAATATCATCAAATATAATTGCCAAAGACTTTGATGTCACCATTAAAACAAGCTCTCCAAAGATATTAGGGGTAGAAGAGCAGGCAGAGCTGGGCGGAGGCGTTGAGCGCATCATCAGCTTAGCTTCGTTACGTTGCCACAAATGATCCAAACCCAACTGCTCATGAACATTGTTGACCCTTATCTGGTGCCAATTTAGAGCTAAAACGTAGAATAATAGAATTGGAAGGGGTCTTTTAGTTCACCCCCCCCCTGCCCACGCAGGAGGCCCTATATACCATTCCAGACAAATCTTTTCTTGAAAAACCTCCAGTGATGGAGAACCCACAAATTCTGGAGGCAACTCGCTGTGCTGATTAATAGTTCTAACTGTCAGGAAATTTCTCCTTAGTTCTAGGATGGTTCTCTGCTTCATTAGTTTCCATCTGTTGCTTCTTGTCCTGCCTTCAGGTGCTTTGGAGAATAGATTGATCCCCTCTTCTTTGTGGCAGCCCCTGAGATATTGGACGACTGCTATCATGTCACCGCTGGTCCTTCTTTTCCCTATACTAAACATACCCAATTCCTGCAACCGTCCTTCGTATGTTTTAGCCTCCAGTCCCCTAATCATCTTTGTTGCTCTTCTCTGCCCTCTTTCTAGAGTCTCAGCATCTTTTCTGTATCATGGTGACCTTAACCTATGTCGCCCTAAACAGACCCAGTCATGCCCAGGGATCTTTGCCCATCGGCTCTGGAAGCATCTAATTCCACTCTAGTCCTCCAAGCAAAAGAGATGGAGAGACAGAACTTACCGCCTTGACTTGGCCAACTAAGACACACCTCCCTAGCAAGGATTGGCAGTAGCAGCCAAGCTGGGGCTCTTCCCCGCCCCCTTTTGCAACTTCTGAAGCCTTTCAGAAATTAGCCCTGGGATTCTTGCCTGCTTTGAGTGCAAATAAATAACCCTGTCTCTCGACTTCATTTCACTTCTCAGAGAGAGGGAGAAAGCAAATTAACTCAAAGCCCCCAACCACTTTCAGAGAAAAGCCAAAAAGAAAAAAATCTGAAAATTCACACAGCCTCCTTTGATAACTTTGCTATTTCACTACCCTTCTCATTTCGAGTTTAGAATTGGGTTGAACTCTAGAGATCCACCTTGGATTATTACAGATTTCGGTGTCCTTCCATTTGCAGAATCTCCTGGGAATTTAAGGCCTTTTTTTTTTTAAAAAAAAAAAAGGGTACATGGGGAATGGCAGGCTGCTTGCTCCAAAGACCCAGAGAATATACGCCAAGCCTTAAGGCCATCAGCTTTTGTTAAGAGGCTGGACAGCCACTTGTCTGGAATGGTATATAGGGTCCACTATTTGAGCAGGGGGTTGGACTAGAAGACCTCCAAGGTCCCTTCCAACTCTGTTATTCTGTAATTCTGTTAATATTAGCCATGCCTGAAGCCCATAAGCCTCTGTTTCCCCCTCCCCAGCCTCTCACTCCCCTCCCCCCAGTGGATGCTTTTTCTCTGTGCCAGCAACTTTCTTTTTTTTTTCCAGCATCCCCCCCCCTTCCTTTCCTTGCTTAAAAATAAATGCGAGTTTCTGGGAAGCGGTTTTGTCTACCCCTCCCTTCCGAAGAGCCCCTGAGAATAGACTCTGCTACTTTCAACCCCCAGCCCTTCCTCTCTCCCCCCTCCCTCCTCCTCCTCCCCAGCTCAGATGCTCAGGCTTGGCTAGCCAGTTCAACCGGGAAGGAATTTAACCCTTTCCCCACCAGGCAGGATGGAGGGCTGGTCTGATGGTCTAAAGCTGAGCTTCTCCTAGAAATCTCAATTCTGCAGGCTGAGCATTGCCTGAATTTCAACCGCCTGGCCCCTGGGTCTTGTGACTGAATTGCGGATGATTTGCCAGGGCAACACGGATACTCCTGGATGGCTCTTCCATCCGATGCCATTTCCCTCCCTCTGAGCTCAAGGGGTCTAGCTTTTACCTCTGACCCTCTTCCCTAGAGAAGAGGGGTCCGAAAGGGCTGGGGGTGGGGTGGGATCTCCTCTGCCCGTGGTTGGGGAGGCCAGTCCCTGCCCAAGGCACAGCTCAGCATTGGCACGGATAAGGGTGGATCAATACTGTTCACTCAAGGCAACTCAGAACCAGCTCATCGGCGTGAAAGCCTAACAATTGTTTGCTTAATTTCAACCACGGGTCCATGGCCTTCCGTGGGGAGAATGGCACCTGGAGGAATTAAACAGGGGAAGAAAGGGAAGCTTTCCCCCCCCCCCCATGTAGAGGGGAAGCCTCTGAGGCCTGGTTCACAACCACAAGCCTGTGAGGCGGGTCAGGATGACAGCAAGGTCCATGATTTCATGATCCGAATGGGAAAATAAGGCCATGGCCCTTTAAGAGTCCCCTCACCCCTCCAAGGGGGCGGAGCTAACCCACCACAGGGCCTCTCTGCCAATTGGGGGGCGGGTCTTCCCTGGGCTGAGGTCCTGCTGAGACAACATCCTCCAGGCAAGGGAGCCCCACCTCAGGGCTGATGGAGCTCTCCAAGGTGCTGATCCAGTTGTCCTCTGGTCAAGGGACCAGGCTCTCTGGCTTTGTCCCCCTGGCTGGACTGTCCCAGTCAGTGGGAGCCGCTCTTTGGACCCGACCGTCCCTGCCTGGCCTGAATTTCCCCTGGCCCAGTCTGTCCCTGCTTCCCCCAGGCCTCCGTTATGCATCCCCCGGCTGGTTCTCCATTTGCAAGCACGATCAGGACCAGAATTCCGTTTGCTAAGTAAAGTGGTTGCTAAATGAGTCACCTTGATTTTAGAACCTTTTTTTTTTTTGGTCAGGGCTGTTAAGGGAATCCCTGCAATTGTTAATTGAATCATGCAGTCATTATGCGAATCCGGCTTCCCCCATTGACTTTGAGGTTCCAGCTTCAAAATGGCACCAGGCAAGTCTTGGCAACAATATGGTTTCCATTACTTCCTCCATTTTTACTTTGCTCCCCCCTTCCTTCACAAGGTAGCTAGGACTTGAGGATCTCCTTGTAGTCTCCCATTCATTTGCTGACAAGGTTTAGCGTTCTAAGTTAGTGAGGAGTTACTTGGGACCTCTGCAGAACAGTCAGCTTTCGCAAGGCCTGGAAAGAACTGACATTCATGGAAAAACATCTCAGCGTCTCCAACTGGATGCCTGGCGTTGGGCTAAACATCTGTCCTTAATTTTCAGCTGCTCCAATCACGGCCGAAAAATAAGACGTCTGGAGCCTGCAATTCCAAGCTTCCCCTCCCAATACAGGGATTTTCAATCTTGAATGTTCAATCTTCTTCTCCGTCCCACCCTTTTCCAACAGGACCCACGACGAGACGACGGTCCTTCAGCTGGCTTAGAAGTGACCCATAAACAATGTTATGAGTGTCTAGACCTTTCCCACCTTCTCTGCCCACAAGCCTGTTTTTTCCATGAAGTGCTTAGCACAGGTGTGCGAGAAGCAAGAGGTCCTGCAAGCCAAGAGGCTGATGAGTCACAAAAAAGGGACCGAGATTTTTCAGATGTTTCATTTGCAGGAAACAACTCATGACGCACAATGGGCTGAGTGGGGAGCAAGTCAGTGGATTAAGAAATCTCCCAATTCCTGGAATCACCTCAGGTTTTCAACATGTCAACAACGTCCATAAGGGCTGCTTGGCTTGCCTTTATCCACCCCAGTTGGGATCTTGAACTTCTAACCAAATGAAATTTAGCGTAGAGAAAAGTCAGGTTTTACACTTAGGCAAGAAAAATCAAAGGTACAGGTACAGAGTTGGTGAATCCTGGCTCAAGAGCAGCAACCGTGAGAGGGATCTCAGAGTCCTACTTGACAGTCCCTTAAATACGAGCCAGCCGTGTGTGGCAGCTGCCCAAAAAAGCCAACACAATCCTAGGCTGCACAAACAGAGGGACAGAATCAAGAACACGTGAAGGGTTAGTGTCATTTTTATAATATCTTGGCAAGACCACATCTGGAATATTGTGTCCAGTTTTGCTCATCATATTATAAAAAAGATGGTGAGACTCTGGAAAGAAGGCAGAGAAGAGCAACAAAGATGATTATGGGGCTGGAGGCTAAAACATGAAGGACGCGTGCAGGAATTGGGTTTGTCTAGTCTAGTAAAAAGGACCGGGTGACATGATAGCAGCCTTCCAATATTTGAGGGGACTGTCCCAGAAAAGAGGGGGGGGGCAACCTATTTTCCAAAGCACCAGAAAGCAAGAAAAGAAACAATGGATGGAAAGTAGACAAGGAGAGAAGCAACCTGGAACTAGAGAGAAACTTCCTAACTGTGAGAATAAGGAATCAGTGGAACAGCTTGCCTTCAGAGGTTGTGGGTGCTTCATCACTGGAGCCTTTTAAGAAGAGACTGAACAACCATTTGTCTGATTTCAAGGCCATTGAGCCAGCACTGTCCGAAGGCATTTCTGGGGTCATGTGATCAGCATGACGTCACGGAGCACGGTTACCTTCCCACGGAAGTGGTACCTATTTATCTACTTGCTTTTGCATGCTTTCGGACTGCTAGGAGCTGAGGCGAGGACAGGAGCTCACCCCATCACGTGACGCTCGGATTTCGAACTTGGGCCAGCATCTTTAACCTCTCAGCCACCAGGCTGCCCGAGAAGCACTTGGGAAGATTGACAAAGACTGAATCGCACCCCAACACCCACAATGTAAAATGGAGATTTCAGGTTTCTTAAATTGGGAACACTGGTTTGCAAAGCTGGTCAGTCAACGTTTCTGGAGAACCGAAAGTTGCAAAGGCTGACAAATAAAAAGGAACATCTAAGCATGTACAGAGGTTTTTTTTTCTCTCTCATTGCCTGAATTGACACGTTTCCTTAAACCATAATATTATTTCTTTGCTTTTCATTTAAGAACACGTTGCACGAATCAAGACACTGTAGTTTTTAAATCAGGATGTCTGGCTTAACGTTATACATGAACCTGGCTCTTGTGGCTTGTTTGGCGAACCATGGTTAAAAACAATTTTGTCCGAACCCAACTCTGGAGTTGTCTTCTCTGCTTTCTAAAGGTCAGTCGGTTGGTTGATTAAATTTAGATTCTGCCTTTTTTTCCCTAAGAACTCCAGGGACGTTGGTTGCTGAGAATAAGCTAAGAGGAAAAAAATTGGCTCAAAGTCATCTGAAGAACATTCCTGGCTGGGGAAAAAAAAAAAAAACTTTGCTGATTTTGTCCTCAGCAAAACACGAAAGCACTTGTGAAATTCTCCATCCAAATTACAAGCAGAGAAATTGGGGAGATAAGTTCCCTGCTTCTTTTTTCTTTTTCTGAAAGAGAAAGAGTCCTCTTAATTGCAACCACAACACCATCATTAAGAGGATTTTGAGAATATTTGAGGGGCTCCTACAAAGACAGGAGGGTCAAACTACTTTTCAGAGCACCGGAGGGCAGGACAAGAAACAATGGATGGAAACTAGTCAAGGAGGGCTGGCTCCCATTTAAGGGATTGTCCACTAAGACTCCCAGATCCCTCTCACAGTTGCTGCTATTGAGCCAGATACCGCCTATTTTATACCTGTGCGTTTGGTTTTTCTTGCCTTCCTTTTGTCTCCACTGAATTGCACTTTATTGGATAGGGTTCTGTGTTCGGGTCTGCCAAGATCCTTCTGGATCTTGTGTCTATCTTCTAAAATTTTAGCTATTCGCCCCAGCTTGGTGAGGTCTGCAGCACCAAGTCATTGCCTCAATCCAAGTGAGAATTTCAAGGGCAACAGCTTATTTTCCCCAATCCCACAAACTTTAGATCCTCCGCCTTCGAAATCAGGAAGATAACCTCTCCAAAGTTCAAAAGGTCCAGGGGAGGCCTGAGTGACGCTGAGCGAGCAGGGACTGGGATGGTCCAGCCCTTTTCCCCAATCAAGGCTTGAGGTGCAGAAAGCTTCAGATCCCAGGGACGGGCTAAAAAAAGGGATAAACTGTGCTCCTTTCTGGAAAACAGGACTGTAAGTCTGAGACATAATGAGAAGCTGAAGCAACAGACTAATTCTCTGGCAGGAAGTGAGTCACAGAAGGCCAGTCGGGGAAAGTAATCCTTTTTTCTCTTTTATGACAAAGGGAGATAGCTCATGGTACAGAAGGAGAAAAAAATATATCTTTGGTTTGCTGCAATCTGTACTTCTTGCAATTAAATCAGCATCGGAATGGAAGTTCTGCAACTTGACAAGTACAGATAGTCCTCAATTTACGACCAGAGTTGGGAAGACAATTTCTGTTGCTGAGCAGGACATTAAGTGAGTTTAAGTGCCTGATTACATGGCCTTTCCCGCTACGGTTGTTCAGGAAATCAGTGCTGGTCATGTGGCCGTTAAGCTCCCGCATCGACTGGGCTTGTCAGAATCCAGCTGGGAAGGCTGCAAATGGCGATCACATGACACTGGGACACTGCAACCATCATAAGTACGTGCCAGTTGCTAAGTGCCTGATCACGTGACTGTGGGTTGCTGTGACGGTCATAAGTGTGAGGACCGGTCATAAGTCACTTTTTTCCACGGCCGTTTTAACTTTGAACGGTCATTAAACAAACGTTTGTAAGTTGAGGACAGGCTATCTGATGAAATACGATTAGGAACAGAGTAAAGAAGGAAATGTATCCAGCTCAGCAGAGTAAGTTGTTTTTACATTTTTTAAGTATTGCTGAACGGAGAAATTATACTGTATGGTGCCCTCCAGGTGCATAACAGTAGAACTAATAGTAAATTCATTTTTCATGCCCCTGTAACGGAGCCCAGAATAGATATGGGTTGGAAACAGCAGTGAAACCTTGCTAACAAACGTTGATAAAACTGTACAGGTAGTCCTCGGTTTACACCAGTTCATTTAGTGACTGTTCAAACTTACAACGGCCCTGAAAAAAAGGTTAAGACCACTTTTCATACTTACGACCTTTGTACCTTATCAACTTACGAACAACCCTGTTACTAACTGGTCAGCTACAGTGATTCACATAATAACTGTGGCATGAAAAGTCGTAAAATGGGGCAAAACTCACTCAACAAATGTCTCACTCCATCCTAGGCTGGAATGATGGTCATAAGCCAAGGACTGCCTGTGTTATAAAAGAAGGAGCAGCTGGACTGGCATTTTTCAAAGCTGGCAACATTAAGACGGGTGGACTTCAACTCCCAGAATTCCCCAGCCAGCGTGCACCGCTGGTTCACTGTTGGTGCCATGGGCAGGACACAAACACTGTGCCCGTATTTTCATGCCTTCGTCCTAAAGAATACATTTTCACAGGCACTCTGCTCCTACACACGCTTCCCAGGTGCAATTATTCCATAAGAAATACTTGTACTATGCACCCACTTGTCTAATAATTTATGCTGCCTGTCTGTTTTCCCGCTTAATGGGTGCACTGTAACGCTCAGCGCTCTAGCTGGGACCCAGCATTCCAGATAAACTTTGGATCTCAGTGTGTGTGTGTGTGTGTGTGTGTGTTTATATTTGTTTATGTATCTGTCTTCACGTCTCAGTGTCTCTATGCATCTAGGGCCGACAGACTCTTTAGAAAGGATTATTTCCCAGTAACTCAAACGCAGTTAAAAGGCAGCTGACCTACTGCAAAATAATTTTTCTTCTTTGATATTATCTTTATTTCCGAAAATGTTCGAGAAGAGGAAAGGCAAAGAAGAACAGAGAAAAGAAGGTTAAGAGAGGAAGGAAAATGAAAATGGAAGTGAAAGGAGGCTGACAGGAAGAGAGAGAGAGAAGGAATGGGAGAGAAGATGAAAGAGAAGAAAGAAGGGGAAAGGAAGGGGAAGGGAGTAAATGGATGAAGAAGGAAGGGAAGGGAACGAGAGGAAGGAGAAGGCGAGGCAGAAGGAGAAGGAGAAAAAGAAGAAGGAAGGGGAGAAGGAGGGAGAAAAGGGAAAGAGAAGCAAGGGAGGAAGAGGACGAAGAAGGAGAAGGGGGTGGGAAAGGGAAAGAGGAGCAGAGGAAGAGAGAGAGAGAGAGAGGAGGATGAAGAAGGGGCACCTGCCTGCCTCCCTGCCAGAGTCCCCTCCATTCCCAGCGCACCGAAAGCAGCAGCGCCTGCATTTGTCTTGCTATGTCCCTGCATTTTAATTACCACCTTATTAATATTCATGAGGCTCGGCACTCAAGGGGGATTAGTCTGTCATTGCCACTCGCTCCCCTTCCACCCCACCCCTCCCCCTCCCTCCTCCCCCTTTCCTCTGCTCCCTTTTTCCTTCGCACTGCAGAGGCTGATGGCGGGCGACAGACTCCTTCTGCAGAGGCCGGTCCGAGGGACCCTTCCTCCGGGCCCATCTTGCTGGGCACAGACTTAGGGGCTTGGGTCAACGAGAGGCCCAGAGCCAAAACCGAACCCCCCCCCAGCCTGAATTTTCCCCTCCACCCCGTTCCTCTGCTCTTCCTTTCCTCCACCGCAAGGAGGACCGACAATCTCAAGCCAGACCCTGGGTGGCTTCACACAATAAACCTTGGGGAGTCCAACCTCTGCGTTCATACATTACGCTGAGCATGGCTGCAGAGAGTTCCCCGACTTACGACCGCAAGTCGGGGACCAGAATTTCTGTGGCTAAGCAAGGCGGTTGTTAAACGAGTCGTCAGCTGATTTTAGGAGACCCTGCCTGGACCATTTCAGAAAAGCGGTCTATTCTTAAAAAACTCCAGCGATGAAGCACCCACAACTTCTGAAGGCGAGTTTCAGAGGTTGATTAGTTTATCTGTTTATTTATTAGTTTAGATAAAATTAAGTGTATTTATTAGAAATGTATAAAAACACCGTTCTTCATTTCTTCTCATTTTTAATTTTTTAGATTGTATCAGTTTTTTTTTCTTTGCTTTCCACATCCATAAATTGTCATCCTTGACTGAACTTAAGGTTTGGTTTCAAACTGATATTTTCGACTTTATTTTTCCAAACGTAAGAATACACTTTTGGTTCCACAGTTGGCTTGCTTATTAAATTTATAGGCTGCCCATCTTGCAGTCAAATATTCATCCATAACAGAAAGCATTTTACATTATTTTCAAGGACATATACATTTTTGACTGAGATTGTCCTAATTATACAAAAATAATGCCAAATTGATTTGCAACATTTGTAAAAAAAAAAAAAAAAGGATTTTTCAGGGGAAAATAGTTTTGGTTCACATTGGGTTCACAAGCATGAGAATTTAGGTCACTTCTGTTCCTTTTAGGGTGTGCAAATCAGCCAAGATCCAAGACCTGGCTTTTGTTTGCTCTCAACAAGCTGTTAAGAACAGAGAAGAACAAAGTTGGAAGGGACTTTAGAGATCTTCTAGTCAAACTCCCTGCATCAGCAGGAGACTTTATAGCATCCCAGACAAATGGTTGACCAATCTCTTTTTGAAAACCTCCAGTAATGGACCACCCACAACTTCTGGAGGCAAGCTGTTCCACTGATTAATTGTGAAATTAATAGAATTCTCCTTAATTCTAGGAGGTTGAATCTCCCATTGATTAATTATTCTCACTGTCAGGAAATTTCTCTTTAGTTCCAGGTTGGTTCTCTCTCTGAGGAGCTTCCATCCATTTTTGCTTCTTCTACCCACAGATGCTTTGGAGAATACGTTGAACCCTCTTCTCTGTGACAGACCCTCAAATGGTGGAAGACTGCTACCATGTCCCTCCTAATCCTTCTCTTTGTTAGACCAGACATACCCAATTCCCGCAACTGTTCTTCATATGTTTTAGCCTCCAGTCTCCTAATCATCTTAGTTGTTCTTCTCTGCACACTTTCTAGAGTCTCAACATCTTTTTTATATCATGGCAACCAAAACTGGATGCAGAATTCCAGGAGTGGCCTTACCAAGGCACTAACACTTCATGTGATCTTGATTCTCTCCCTTTGTTGAAGCCACCTAGGACTGAATTGGCTTTCTGGGCAGCTGCATTTCAACCTTTGAAGGAATGACCTCAAATCATCCTGGTGGAATCATTTGAGCTTCAGGGCCTTCTAGGTCCTTCTTTGGGCTTGTTAAGCTTGGGTTTCTTCTCTCTTGTAGGGACCCTTTTCAAGCCTGCTTCTCCAGCTCCTTCTGCCTCCCCCCCCCATCCTCCTGGCTGCCCCCCTCTAGCCAGCCAGAAGCGATGGCTGGTCCACCAGGATGGCCCTCATCCTCTCCCTCTGTGTGCCAAATCCAATGGTGCCCCCATCGGCATGGCAACGCCACGTCGGCAGCACCACATCAGCACCTGAATGCTGGTCTCTCGCTGTTCCACCAAGCTCCCTGGCATGAGTTTTACAAGGAGGGATGGATGGAAAACAAAGCTGCTGGGCAGTGGGAAGCCACAGCACCAACTGCCAGGCGCTGGAGCAGAAGCGGCTTAGAAAATAGCCTCACACTGGGGCCTTCCCACGCTGCCCTAGAAGCTTCAACAGGGCCTCAGAACTCCAGATTGTGGGAATCAAGGATTCGAAGCTTCTGAATTACCTTGTTCTGCAGGTGAAGGGAAGGGCAACTGCCTCTCCTCCTTGGCTCCCAAAATTCGGGTTTTTGGAAACATCTCCCCATTTTTCCTGTCCTCTTCGCAGGTGCCTTGAAATCTCTCTTTGCAGTTCCTTCCTTGAAGGTGTCCCTCAGAAGGGGCTTTGAGAAAGAAGTTGAAGGCAGCCTTTTGTGTTATTCCCTTGCCTCTACGCAATCTGGGTTTGACGTGGGTCCCCAAAGCCACGATGTGCCAAAAGCTTCTTCTTCTTCTTCTTCTTCTTCTTCTTCTTCTTCTTCTTCTTCTTCTTCTTCTTCTTCTTCTTCTTCTTCTTCTTCTTCTTCTTCTTCTTCTTCTTCTTCTTCTTCTTCTTCTCCTCCTTCTTCTCCTTCTTCTCCTTCTTCTTCTTTCTCCTTCTTCTTCTTTCTCCTTCTCCTCCTTCTTCCTGGAGAGGTGAAGGAGGGACAGATTGGCTGCCTGCCTTGGATTCTGTATCAATCCACCAGCTGTGGGAACTTTGGCTCTCCAGGCTGGTTCCCTAAACATATTTTGGACATGCAAGTACAAGTCAATCCAGCCTCGTCCTCCAATTCTTCCCAACTGAACCATCCTCCATTTTAGAACTGGCTGGAAACGAGGAGCTCAGATCTGTCCCCCTCACATTCTTTTGCCACTAAGAGAAATATTCAGTGGTGGTGACAGGTTGTGTGTGTCCATCTCCTGCAAATATAGCCACTGTGGTCAGTGTAGTCTAGTGGTTAAGGCACAGACTAGAAAGGGGGAGACTGTGAGTTCAGGTTCTGCCTTCGCTAGGAAACCTGTCTGGGTGATCTTGGGCCAATCACCAGGAGACGGTGAGTTCTAGTCCCGCCTTAGGCATGAAAGCCAGCTAGGTGACTCTCAGCCTAACCCACCTCACAAGATTGTTGTTATGGGGAAAATAGGAGGAGGAAGGTGTGTTGGATACATTTGCTGCCTTGAGTTCTTTGTAAAAATAATAAAGGGGGAAATAAACTAACTAACCAGAAAGCAGAAAGTTCATGGCTGTCCTCTTTCCCGCTCTCCACCCTGGCCCTCATCCCGGATCCCAAGCCCCACCAAGGGGATCCATACGGAAGCCCTCCCTGTGTCTTTCCTGGTGTTCTTGCTAGCTCCGTGCCACAAATATTTGAATTAAGTTTCCCCCCCTCCCCCGGAGAGTTCCCGTCAGGCAAGCCACTGATTTTTGCTTCTTGGTGTAATTTACTGGGATGGCGCTTGTGCCTCTGATGGGGAAAAAAAAAGGAAAAAAGAAAATCGCAGCAGGAGCAGAGAAGAACTTGCAAATCAGTCTAGGGGGTGGGTGAGGAAAGAGCGATTGGAATATGAAAAGGGGAAGCAGATTGTGGTCTCCCCGCGAGCCCCTCTCCCTCTCTCTCGTCCAGGGGCTCTTCCTGCCAGGGAGGAGAGACAAAACTGTCCTTTTAACACCACATGCCCGGTCGGTCTGTATGGAGCCATCTGGACATGCCAAAGTCAACTCCACAAAAGGACGAGCTGCGGAGTTGTACAACAGCACCAGCAGGCATCCATCCACACTCACAACCCTGCATGGTGGTACATTACAGGCTGTCCTGGGCAGATGACCATTTCTTCAGTGACTGTTGCCTCCAGAAGTTGTGGGGGCTCCATCCCTGGAGGAGCTGCATTTGTCTGACTTCGTATAGAGTCTTCCGTTAAAGCAGAGAGTTGGACTAGAAGACCTCCAAGGTCCCTTCCAACTCTCTTATTGTTACATTAGACAATCATTTAACCAGGATGGTATAGAGTCTCCTGCTTGAGCAGGAGGTCGGACTAAATGACCTCCAAGGTCCCTTCCAATCCTATTATTCTATATTCTATGGTCATCAGGACAGGCTTCTTAGGCCAGGTGGAGGAAAGATCAGATTTCGCAGGGCAACTTAAGAAGTCCACCCGCGGTCAGCCACTGGGTTGTGGACACTTTGTGAGGATTCAGAAGGCCAAGCTGAGCTCCTGACCAGCCTGAGGAAGAAGGGAAGGTCTTAGTCCAAGTATTTTTGGGGGGAGAAAGAAGAAGGTCGAACAGGAGAGGAAGGGTTGGACCACAATCACTGTGTAGCGTTGAAGCTGCCCCCAAACTCTTGTTGTTCTTGCTACAAAAGAAGAAGACGGGCTCCTTCAAAGGAGGAGACCGGGCAAGAGGCAGGGAAGGAGGGGAAGAGAGAGGCGAGGGGGAGCAATGGAGAGGAGGAGGAGGAGGAGAAAACGGCGAGGAAAAGCAGAGCGAACAGGAGAGAGCGGGCGAGCGAAGGAACCGCCTGCGCAGCTCGGCGCATCCTCTCCGGATGGGTTTTTCTGAACGGCTGCCAAGTATTTCAAGCCGGATCTTTGCAAGCCTTGAACCTCTGGCTCTCCGTGCGTGCCTGCCTTTAAAACCCGCTCTTCCCTCCCCCTCCTCTCCCCCCTCCCCTCCCCAGCCTCTCGTGTGCGCTTTCTTGCTTTGCTGCAAGAAAAAATCCGCACCACCAGCTGCTTCTCTCGCCCGGACCCCTTCCCGCCGCGCTCCTCCTCCTCCTTTTCTATAACTCAAAGCTTGTCAGCCCAGTTCCAGACTCCTGGCGCCAAGCTCCTCTCCGGGAAGGGGAAAAAGGGGAGGGGAGCAGAGCGGGGGGGGGGGAGAAAGCAAAAGCAGAGAGAGGGGGCTGGGGAGCAGGCGAGGCGGAGAGCGAGCGCGCAAGAGAGAGCGAGAGCATGCCAAAATAATAAAATGCGTGCAAAAGGGGGGTGGATGGGGGAAAGACAGAGAAGCGAAAGCAACCAGGAGAAAACACGAAGCAAGGCTGGGGGGGGGGGGAGCAGGAGAGAGAGACGGAGAAGCCAAAGTGGAGAAAGAGAGCGAGGAGGCCCAAAAAAGCACGGAATTATTATTTTTTTTAAAGAGAGAAGGGGGGGAAGAGAGAGAGAGCTGGAGGGGAAGCGCAGAGAACAGCTAAAGCCGAGAGAAGCAGCCCAGATTTCCTTGCTTGCTTTTTTAGGTAGACAAGGCAGAGGGGGGCGAGAGGAGGCCAGGCGAGGCGGGCAGTGGGGCTGGGGGGGGGGGGTTGAAGAGGGAGAAGACTGAGAGGCGGAAAAGGGGGGCGAGGGGAAGGGAAAGGGTGGACAAGGAGAGGGGGAGGAAGAAAGAGAGAGAAAAGGAGAAAGAGGGGAAGAAGGAAGGGATGCTGAAGTCAAGGCAGGAAGGAAGGAAAGAAAAAAGGAAAAGGAGAGACGAGAGGAGGAAGAAAAAAGAAAGAAAAATGCATCCATCTCCCCGCAACGTTCTCGTTCGTTTCGTTCCCCAATTCCCTTAACTCTTCCCCCCCCCCCAGCAAACCGCGGTTCTCCCTCATCCCCCCTCCCGCGCGCTCCGAGAGTAAATAAATAAATACATAAATTAGGGGAAAGTCAGGAGAGGAGGAACTGCGGGGGGGGCAGGCTTGCAGCAAACAGCCCCCTCCCTCAAGAAAACTGGCGATTCATTATTTATCGAGCCGATCAATTATTTAAGGCGCAGTCGGGGCGCGGGGAAAGAGGGGTGGGGAAGCGGGGCGCGCGTGCCGGTGGAGTCCCGGGAGCCAGGCAAAAATAAGGTGGGGGGGCCACGCTGGTTGGGTTGTTGACTTTCAAAGCGATCCGGGACGCCACGCTACCGCCCCCTCCTCCTATCCCCCCCCGTCCGCATCCTGCCAACTCCGCAGAAAGACGGAGGGGGGGGAACAGCCCCTCCTTGAAGTTCTCCAAAGAAATTGGGATAGTGTCGCTAAGGCGGTGCTGGGCGGCGGGGGGGGAGGTGGGATATCCTTCCCGGACTGGAGTCCACCCTTTGGGGACGGGACGGGGGGGGGGCGGCTGTGGCGATGTCCCTGAATAACTTGTCGACTTGGAAAACAAAATGCAGCGCAAGACTCTCATTCATTTCCGCAAAGCAGAGCATGGATGGATGGATAAATAGACAAACTAGGGTAGAATGGATAAATGGATGGATGGATGATGGATGGAAGGAAGGGAGGAGAATGAAAGAAAAAAGGGAAGACGGAAGGAAGGGGGTGGAGGACTGAGCATGCTGGACCCTGGGGATGCTGCAAGGCTCCTAAGTGTGAAAATTGGTCAATAGCCCCTTTTTTTTCCAGTGCCTCTATAACTTCGAATGGTTACCAAATCAACGGGGTTGTAACTTGAGGACTACGGTCTTCCAAAGCAGATCAGTGGCCTTTTTGTCCAGCCTGCATTCACACCACACCCTGGACCTGCTTTCCTGAGTTAAAACCGGTCACTGCATAGCAGCAGTCCTCAACTCACAAGCAGTTTTTTTGCAACCCACTCAAAAGTCACGAATGGCACTGGAAAAAAAAAGTAACTTTTGCTCCATCCTCCTACTTACGACTGTTGAAGCATCCCCAGGGTCACGTGATCAAAATACCAGCACGTGGCAACTGGCAATATCTGAACGACGGTTGTGGTGCCGACCTTCCCAGCTGGCTTCTGACATGCCAAGTCAGTGGGGGGGGGAGCCAGACTCACTTAAGGACCCTGTGATTCACTTAACAACTGCAGCGACTCACTCAACAATGCCAGAAAATGTCTAAAATTGGCCAAGACTCTCTTAACAGCTGACTTGCCCAGCCGCAGGAATCCTGACCCCAATTGCAGTTGTAACTCCAGGACCGCCTCTACGTCCTTTGAATTCTCAGTGCAACAAATGGATTTTTACCGCACAAAATCAGCCAAGGTTGAAACTGACCAAGCCTAGCAGTCCCTGGATTATTATTTTTTTTCCCCTGCTTCAGATAAGCATGTGCTGAACCAGCCATCATGTTTCTGTTTAATTGGGTTGATTGCTAAATACCATCCAGGCACAAAGCAGGATATGCAAATTCCGCAGGAACGTGGCTTTTCTCCTTCCCTCCTTCGTGATGTATTTCCTTTTCTTTTCTTTTTTTCCTCTTCTCCTCAAAGCCACCCCAGTGAGTGAGTGATGTTAATGCCATAGGGGAAAACAAAGAATAGGAAAAGGTTCTTAACGGGTAGAGAGCAAACTCGGAATCTCTGCTTAGGTAGTTGCTTCGGCAAAAAAATGGGAGTGCTGTGCGGAAAAGGAGGGGAAAGCTGCAGGTTTTTCTACCTTTCTGCAGTCTGAGTATGGAAAAGTGTGTAGGGTGAACAAGCCATCCCATTAAGCCATAATCTGATCAGAATAACGGAGCCGGAAGGGACCTTGGAGGTCTTCTAGTCTAGCCTCTGCCCATGGCGGGAGTGCTAATATCCATCCGGGGCAAATGGCTGTCCAATCTCTTCTGAAAAAGCTCCAGGGTTAGAGCACCCAGAACTTCTGGAGGCAAGGTGTCAATTAATTGATTAATTGTTCTCCCTGTCACAAAATTTCTCAGTTCTAGGTTGCTTCTCTCCTTGATAAGCTGCCATCTGTTGCTTCTTGTTCTTCCTTCAGGTGCTCTGGAGAATAGGTTGTCTTCTTCTCTGTAACAACCGCTCAAATGTTGGAAGACTGTATACAGAATAACTTGAGTTGGAAGGGACCTTGGAGGTCTTCTACTCCAACCCCTTGCTCAAGCAGGAGACCCTACTCCATCCAAGACCACTGGTTATTCAATCTCTTCTTAAAAACTTCCAGTGATGGTGCACCCACAACTTCTAGGTTGGATTTTTCCTCGATAAGTTTCCATTCATTACTTCTTGTTTTGGCCTCGGGTGCTTTGGAGAATAGGTGGACCTCTCTTCTTTGTAGCAGCCCCTCAAATATTGGAAGACTGCTATCATGTCCCTCCTAATCCTTCTCTTTGTTAGGCTAGAGATGCCCAATTCCCGCAACTGTTCTTCATATGTTTTAGCCTCCAGCCAGCCTCCTGATCATCTTTGCTGGTCTTCTCTGCGCTCTTTCTAGAGTATCAACATCTTTTTTATATCATGGTGACCAAAACCTGACAGGATTCTAAGTGTGTCCAATTCTGAACCAAGCTTTACTTTTACAGCCAAACCGATTTACAACAGCCAGTTGAAACTGAATCAAACTGCAGGGTTTGCAACTGTTAGCTCCAGAGATTCTCAAATCTGCAACTGTCCACCTTCCTCTTTTTTCCTGAAATTCCCCACTCATTTATCTGGCTTGTTCCAGCATCCCATGTCAGGCCTATTTACATAAGAGTTCTCTCTTACAGAGTTATCTCTTGCAACCAACCGCCACTGGAGAAGCAAACAAAATTTGGATTTACTAGAAGCGTTTAGTTCGTGAGATCCAGGGTGGAAAGTTGTGAGTTTAGTGGGTTTGAGTGTGAAAGATGATCCATAAACCTTAAGAAATAATGGACTTCTTTGAATTGTGCTCAGTCCATGAATTAATTTTAATAGCAAATCTGAACTGGGAATTCTTCACTGCATAAATCCACTTTTGATTTTTGCCTAAGCCTTCTCAAATTCAGCTTCTAATTTGGGGGGGTGACACAATACCTTTGTGTAACTGATACAATTGCTTTGGGGGGGGATGGAGTGTCACTATCTGTGAGATTAACATAAGTGAGAGGTTTGTGTACACAGGAATAGCCATTCTGAATTTCTGGGTGAAGGGGGGGGGAATGTTTGTCATTTACATGTGTGGATACACACACATGCACACCCCAGCAAAAAGCATTCCTCACCTAAAATCTAATTTATTTATGCCTTTTTGTAGTTGGGAAAAATAGCATTGAAACTAAAGGGGAAAAAATAGAATATGAAGAAATAGTAGCCCAGGAAAGGAATAAAGATAAAACTCTCCATAAAGCACATAGTTAAAAATGGAAAGTAATATTTCAAATTTGGAAGAAAAGGAATGTTTTAATCAAGGGCCAAACAGACTCTCGGAGGGCCCTTCAGGCACCACCCCAAAAAATGCTCCAACATTTATTTTTCTTCCAGATCTTTCTCCCTCTCTCTCTATTTTGTTCTTTTTCTTTGACTCTGTCTCTTTCTATCTCTTTTTCTCACAGTTCAGAATGGCTATTCATATGTCTCTCCTTCTCTCTGTGTCTCTTTCTCTTTTTTCTTTGTCTCTTTCTATCTCTTTCCTTTTTCTTTTTTCTCTTTCTCTTTTACTCTCCCTTTCTCTCTTTTTTTCCTCCCTCCCTTCCTTCCTTTCTCTCTCTCTTACTCTCAATTTCATGAAAACAATGCAGAGAAATTGCTCTGCTCTTTTATCGTTTTTCTTTTAGTGATGGAAAGGCTCGGGTGAAAAGCTTGTAAAAAAAAAAATCTCCATTTTTCTTGGCCCAGTCCATAGAATATTTTGGATAATTTCTTTTCTAGCTTTCCATGTTTCCATTCGACCCCGAGACACGGAATCTACCAAGAGCTTGTCCAGAACAGAACACAGGAGCTGTCCAGGAGTGTGCAGAATGATGGAAAGATAGGAACACAAAACAGCAGTAGAGGTGTGAAGAAAGAAGCCATCTCAAAGATCGCCCATGCAAGGGACCGGAGTGGTAGGCTCCATTTTCAAGACCCAGGAACGCGGATTTTGGCTCTGAAGCCGCCTCATCACCTCCTTCCTTCCTTGCCTGGGTGGGGAAGCTGAGTTCTGATCCTCACCATCTGCATCCTGCATCTCTTGGGCCAGTTTCTCCATCGGATGCCTGGCCCTGCAAGATCACTTCCTCCCATTCTCTGCTGGGTTTCCTTTGCTTTCCTCTGCTCTCCGTTGTTTCCATCCAATTCCCTGCTCAGCCACCACATCATTTACTGCCAGGCCTGGGATGAGGGACGTCAGAGAGGCTTCTTCAAAGAGCGAGGTGGGGCTGCAGGAGGCCCTCCATCCTGCACGTTTTTTTTTTGGGGGGGGGGAGGGGTTGGGGATCCAGCAGCATCCTGTGAAGCAGTGCTGGACTTCCCAAATAGAGACCAGGCAGGAAGCGTGACTAGAGAAGTGAATTCGACTGGATTGTAAGGCTACCTTACCAGAGTCTGACAAGTCTGAAAGCACAAGCACAATTCTCCTCCTGCCTCTTTTACGGCCTGAGAAACTAGGGAGGGTCCAGCCTGAGCTTCTTTCTCCAGCCATTATGCAGCTCTGGGCTATGTTATATCTTATCTGACCGTTCCCTAGGCTGCAACTCTTCCTCCCATCTCCCAAGGTCTTTCCCACTTAACCATTTCAAGCACCCTGCTTTTTGCCTTCTGTGCCTCTTGGGGCAAGGACTAAAGCACAGTGGTGAGTAGGGATTCAGGGCTGACCTTGAGGGAGAAATGAGAAGAGGAGGAGAAGGAAGAAGCTGCATGTCCATAGACTGAAGAAAGCACCAGAAAGAAACTCAAACTTTTCTTGATTTTGTTCTGTACCAGATAGCGAGGGGTGTTTGTGGATCAAGGATGTGAAAATAATGTACTTGACTTCCAAGGTTGGGCTGCAGTACACCTAATAGACTCTAGAGGGCAGCAGCATTTTCAATTTGCCCCCTAGTAGTTGTCCAAAGGTTTGCAACTTAGATCTGCCAGAGGGAGGGGAGGGGAGGAAGGGAAAAAAGAAAGAAAGAAAGAAAGAAAGAAAGAAAGAAAGAAAGAAAGAAAGAAAGAAAGAAAGAAAGAAAGAAAGAAAGAAAGAAAGAAAGAAAGAAAAGAAAGAGAGAGAGAGAGAGAGAAAGAAAGAAAGAAAAGAGAGAAAGAAAGAGAGAAAGAAAGAAAGAAAGAAAGAGAACAGAGAGAAAGAAAGAAAGAAAGAAAGAAAGAAAGAAAGAAAGAAAGAAAGAAAGAAAGAAAGAAAGAAAGAAAGAAAGAAAGAAAGACAGACTCCCGGTTTCCTCCCCTGAATCTTGCATTCTGGTGGGGAGCCGGTCCAGTGAACAGTGCATGACCCCCCCCATTCTTTTTCTCCTTGCAAAGAGCAAAGAAAGCTCATTTTTGCTTTCTCTGGTGCTGCCCCTCCTTTCCCCCCCCTCCTTTCTCAGCCTCGCCCTCATCCTGTCCGTTGCTGAGGCCTCTTGTGCAACCGGATTGCTGGGAATGAGGAAGCTGAGGGAGGCGGTGAGGCCCGGCTGGAGACAGGCGGCTTCGGCAAAGTTCTGCCTGGAAGAGGCAGCCCACAGGAGGAGGCGTGCCAGGCTGCGAGGAGGGAGGGAGGGGGGGAACCAGCTCCATGGCTTCCTCCCCCTTGGAGCACATTCTTCTGCCGTGCAGGGCAGGCTGGCGCTTGCACAAGAGAGGCGCGCCTGGTTTCTGCGCCTTGGCTCTGGCATCCAAGGGGAGGGAAGGGCTGCCAGGACCCTGATGGGCTCGAATAGTTCTACCCTCGCACCGGGGCAGGAAGACCCCCCAGCCCCACACCCCAAAGATTTCCACTTACCACTCCCCTCTTTGCAGGAAAGTCCGAAAGCAGCTTGCTCTTCAAGGAGCCGGGAGAGCAGGGGGTTGGACTAGAAGACCTCCAGGGTCCCTTCTAACTCTGTTCTGTTCTGTTCCTTGCGGAATGGACCAGGACACAGCTCTTCCTTCAGAGGGCTTCAGTGAGCTTTAAGTGTCTAGTCCTCTGTAAGGAAGGGAGGAATCAGTGTTCTCTCTCCGACAGACGTTAGGTTTCTTGAACGAGAAAGACAGAAAAACTTGACTGTGAGGTCGTTAAGTAGCACACTTTTTTTCTAGCAGTGTCAGAAAATGGCCTCCTTTTTCACAGAGTTAGCGATTCTAGTCCTCTGTAGGAGAGTTCAGAAATGCCTCTCTCTTCAACAGGGTTTATGTTTCTAGTTCTCTGTTTTGAAGGCAACCCCAAAACAGCCCTCTCCTCAACAAGTTATCTTCCCCTTCCCTCCCCCCTTTTTTCTCTCTCCTTCCTACCCTTCCCTCTTTCTCTTATGTTTCCCTTCCTTCCTCCCTCCTTCCCCTTCTTTCCTTCCTTCCTTCCTTCCTTCCTTCCTTCCTTCCCCTTCATAATAAAATCCGTGTATGTAAGATACATTTGTTTTTCTCTGCTTTCTCCTTTTTTTTGTCTCCTCTCTTCATTCTTGGTGAAAGGGATTAAAGAGCCCCCCCCCCCCCCCGCAAACAGCCTCCTCTCCCTATCACCTATAGCCCTTTGAAGTTCCCATAGAGTCCAAAATCATCCTTAGAAATAATATTGTACTGTTCAAGCTCCCATTTTGTTTTCTGGAACCCCAATTACTTACATAATTTCTAAAATTACATTTGGATTCCATGGGCAGGGAGAGGGGTTTCTATGGGTGAATTAATGCCCAAAGACTCGCTCAGCTAGCTGCCTTTCAATCATTCCAAGTCACATCCAGGAGGGTCTCTAGCCGAGAAGGGAGCCAAAATTATTTATTTTTCTCCCGGGCTGTGAAATCATGGCAGGAGTTTCATTCTGCCCTCTACCTCCAGATGATTGCTGGAGAAAACGGATTAAGATAGGGCTATATCAATTAATATCTCAACTACCCCTAAGATAACCCTATCAACACATCCCGGTAATTGCATTAAGTTAGGACTATCAAGAGCCGGTCGCCATGGTGATATATACATTGATCCTGGCGAGTTTTGAAATGAGTTGGAAGAAAATACCTGAGCAGACCAACATTGTTCTGAGGGTTGGCTGCAAAGGGGAAGAAGGAACACGGAGCTGAGTTAAGGAACTGCCCTGGGTAAAAGGGAAGAGACAGTGAAAGCAGCCACATCTTATTTTGGAAACCAGAAAAATTAGAGGGCGCTTTTAGGGAAGAGCGGAAAAGGCTGCACTGTTTCAGAGTTCAAAGCCCTTACAGGGAGTCCTCAAGTTAAGACCCAACGGACCCCCCAAATTACCGTGGCTCAGCCAAACATTTGTTAACTGAGTTTTGCCCCATTTTACAGCCTTTCTTGCTTAAGTGAATCGCTGCTAAATGATTCTGTCTCCCCCGTGGATTTTGCTTGTCAGACGGTGGGATCACTGCAACCGTCATAAATGTGCGTCAGTGGAACAATTTGCCTCCAGACATCCCTGGAGGCTTTTAAGAAGAGACCGGAATGGGGCAGGGTCTCCTGCCTGAGCAGGGGGTTGGACTAGAAGACCTCCAAGGTCCCTTCCAGCTCTATTCTGATGGATTGTTATGAAAAGAAGCCTGAATAGTGCCTGGAATCCAGCAACCCTCCACACACACACCCATGTGCATGGCACAGCCAAGCACCCAACTGGTGTTGTGTTACCAATTAAAGAGCTCCACACAGCTCAACATCAAGAAGGAAAGAACGGCGGGTTGCCAAATTGCTTAGAAGGGGTGCTTTGCTGATGGATTAGACAAGGAGATGGCATCCTCCACACACACACACACACACACACACACACGCGCACGCACCCAGAGACACAAATCCAGAGCTCTCTCAGGAAGACACACACACACACACACACAGGGTCATCCTGTTTTCCATCCATCTGCAGGGCCACGAGGAGAGCACAGCTGTCTGGTGTGGCTTCCGAAGCGGAGTGAGGCCGAATGAGAAGCAGCAGCTCTTCCCTCCCTCCCTTCGGCAGCTGGCTGGCAAAAATGAGGGAGGGGTCCCCAGAGGGATGACACAATTGCAGGGGGGGGGAGAAGCAATTTAACTCCTGGCTGGCTGCTGCTCCCTCCCAGGCTGGGTGCCCCCTCCCCCGTTAGGCCGATGAGCAACCAAGGTGGGTGGGGGGTTCGTGGCATTGTTGGGCAAGGAGAGGAGATTTGGGGGTTTGGGGATTTGGGAAGAGGGGAGAGAAGAGAAGGAGAAGGAGGGGGACAAGCTCCTTCCCTTTCTCTTTTTTCTCTTCCTTCTTCCTTTTCATCTTCTCCTTCTCTTCTTCCCCTTCTCCTCTTATCTCCTCCTTCTCCTCTTTATTTATCTCCACCTTCTCCTTCCTTTTTATCTCCTCCTTCCCAACTCTTTCATCTTCTTGTTTCGGTTTGTGAAGAAAGACAAGAAGAGTTTGAAATAAGAGAGGAATACATTGCTTCCCCTTCCTCCTCCTCCTCCTCCTCCTCCTCCTCCATGCAGCTCAAAGAGCACCAAGGACCCCACAGTTCTTCGACTCCTCCTCATTTATTCGAATAAGTCAACCCGTCTTCTCTGTGACAACCCCTCAAGTGCTGGAAGACAGTTATCACGTCTCCCCTAATCTTTCTAATATCTAAGGGCTGCCACAAAGAAGAGGGGGTCAATCTTGTCTCCAAAGCTCCTGAAAGCAGGACAAGAAGCAACGGCTTCCCTCCAGAAGCTGTGGGTGCTCCATCCCTGGAGATTTTCAGGAAGAGACTGGACGGCCATTTGACCAGGATGGTACAAGACCTCCTGCCTTGTGCAAGGGGTTGGACTAGAAGACCTCCAAGGTCCCTTCCAGTCCAAGGTTCTATGCTCTATGTGCTGCCTAGGGTGGTGGTCTCAGCCAGTGGCAGTTGCTAACTGACCTCATCCGATTTCTCAGAAAAAGCTGAGCATGAATAGATTTATGAATACCCGAGTGGGCGACCATTCATAAATCGTAGGGCTGCAACCTAAATGGAGATGTCCACAGAAGATTCAGGAAATAAGGTAAAGGTGAACCATTCCTATACTGCTAGCAAGAAAACCACGCACAGATGTTTCATCGCCAAGAGTTGTGCTCCGCGAAAGAGAGACGTGATTTGAAAGGCAGGATATTGTTTCACCAAGCAGATGAAGCAAACGTGCAAATTATAAATTGAAAACAAGACGATCCTTTGTAGTTGTTTTTTTTTAAAAAACTGAACCTACACCTTGGTCGCCCGAAGCTCTAGAAATAATCTAGAGACAGATTAAGACAGATGAATTAAAACAGAAGAATGTCTATCTAGCGCAGGTAGTCCTCGGCTTACGAACACAATTGAGCCCGACATTTCTGTTGCTAAGCGAGATAGTTGTTAAGTGAGTTTTGCCCCATTTTATGACCTTTCTTTCCATAGCTGAGGAGGGAGGAGGAGGAGAAGAAGAAGAAGAAGAAGAAGAAGAAGAAGAAGAAGAAGAAGAAGAAGAAGAAGAAGAAGAAGAAGAAGAAGAAGGAAGAAGAAGAAGAAGAAGAAGAAGAAGAAGAAGAAGAAGAAGAAGAAGAAGAAGAAGAAGAAGAAGAAGAAGAAGAAGAGGCGGAGGAAGAGGGGAAGGAGGAGGAGGAGGAGAAGAAGAAGAAGAAGAAGAAGAAGAAGAAGAAGAAGAAGAAGAAGAAGAAGAAGAAGAAGAGGAGGAGGAGGAGGAGGAAGAGGGTCACATCTGCAGCTCTTATTGATCGAAGCTCTTTGATTTCTTCTTCCTGATTAGCTGGAGTTTTCAAGAAACAGATCAGGAGAGGGATGCTTCTTTTTCCACAGGCTTCTTCCGCCCCAGGACTTTTCCCCTTGCAAAGACGAATGTAAGGAACAAAACAGAATACATGCAATTAAGTGTCTGATCAATGAACACTGCAAGGTTGATGGTCAGAGCTGTGCAGAAGGAGATCGGAAGCACCGGCAATAACTGGGATTTACTGTGTCAGCGGCCTATTAACTGAGCAATTGGTTTGCCAAGCTGCAGGATGAGTGATCAGATATTGCAACCTGATGTGGTAATGGCAAGTGCTTGAGAGACATCGGTGAGCGAGACAGCGTGCAGTGGAGCAGAGAAAGTTGCCAACTGACCAGGAGTCTGGCCTGTCAGTCTGCAGAATTTGATGGATGACCATTTCCAGAAGACAGAGAGAGATGGAAGGCAGGAGATTCAGGGGCCAGTGATGGAAGATTACCTGGTCTGTTGCTAGAGGCGGAACTACTGAGTTTGAAAAACGGTCTGCTGACTTCTTCCAACTCACTTTGGTGAAGGGCCAGGGCTTCCAGCCTTGACAGCTTTGAGATGCGTGGAGTTCAATTCCCAGAATTCCCCAGACCGCATGGACTTCTGGGAATTGAGGTTCCGGCATGATGGAGGACATCTCCTTGGAGAAAATGGACCTCCTGTAACTCAAGAGCAAATTCTTACTTTTCCTGCTAACATCTCCTTGTCTGTGGGTTGCCCACTCACAGAGTCGCAGAGTTGGAAGGAGCCATTAAGGGCCGGTTGGGGAATTCTGGGAGTTGAAGTCCACCCATCTTAAAGTTGCCAAGGTTGGGAATCCTTGATACAAGTCAAAGGAAGGGGTAGATTTTCAGAACCGAACAGAACAGAATAACTGAGCTGGAAGGGACAAATGGCTGTCCAGTCTCTTCTTAAAAACATCAAGCGTTGGAGCATTCACCGCTTCTGGAGGCAGGTAGTTCCACTGATGAATTGTTCTAACTGTCAGGAAATTCCTCTTTAGTTCTAGGTTTCTTCTCTCCTTGGTTAATTTCCATCTGTGTCTCCTTGTCCTGTTTCTCTCTCTCCCATCTTATGCTAAACAAGATCAATGCTGGATTGCTTTGATATTCTTTCTCACCCATCCTTCAATTTCTGGAATTTGCAATTTCTTCTCCAGCTCCGTTTTAAGCACTCATTCCTTCCTTCACCACTAATTGCTCTCTCATGGCTTCTCCAAGTCATGACTAAATCACAGGTAGTCCTTGACTTACACCCATCACACCCCAGACCAGGATTTCCGTGGCTAAGCATTATTATTTATTTCCTTTATGGCACATTCACGTCCTATTTCAGTATGGCTAAGCAAAGCGATTGTTAAGGGAGGCTCGCCTGATTTTGCAACCTTTCCTGCCACGATTATTAAGAGAAACACGGCAGTTGTTCAGTCAATTATAGTCGTTAAGTGAAACCGGCTTTCCCCATTGACCTTGCTTGTCGGAAGCTGGTTGGGAAGGTCGTAAAACAGTCATCACATCACTCTGGGATACAACGGCCGTCCTTAATACATGCCAGGCGCCCCAATTTTGACCACGTGACCGTGGGGGATGCTGTGACGGTCGTAAGTATGAGGACTGCTCTTGAGTGGCTTTTTCCCCCTGCTGTTGTGCCTGGGTTTCGCCCGTCTGCTGAATAGCAGGACCTCTTTCCTTTCTTTCCACCAGCGCCACGGGAGTCAGGCGGATTGGGGTCCCCGGGAATTTAATGAGCAGGGGCAAAGACGGTGGAGCGGGAGGAGGAGGAGGCGTGAAAAGGGGCCTTTTCATCCTGGTCTCTTGGTAACCCTCTCCCGCAGGCAGGCGGGCAGTGAGCGGAGAGGAAGGCGGGGGGGGGGGGGCTGCCGTGCCGTTCGCTGCCTTGCAGCAGCCTCTCGCGCTCCGGCAGGCTTGGCGCATCCTGGCTTTTTCTGCTGCCGTTTCCTCTTCCTCGCTGCCATAGCAACGGGGTTGGCTCAAGGAGCTTTTCGCTTCCCATCTTCGTGCGCCTTTCCCTGGACACGTATTTGTTTTGGGGGGGTGGGTGGGGGGGTGGAGAAGAGACATGCCTATTTGCATGTGGATATACCTATTTGTTCATTTTCTTTATTATCCTCCTTTGGCTCTTTTTCACATTCTCTCCATCCCTGTTGCCCATTTGGCCTGCCCGCCCACCTGCTGAGTTTTATTCTGCCCCTCTCTGTGTGTCTCTCTTTCTGACTTTCTCTCTTTCTCTCTCTCCCCCCTCCCTCTTTCTGTCTCTCTGTCCCTTTCTCTCTTTCTCTGTCTCTTTTTCTCTTTCTCTCTCTCTGTCTGTACCCTTCTCTCTTTCTGTCTTTCACTTTCTTTCTCTGTCTCTGTCTTTCTGTCTCTTTCTATTTCTCTCTCTGTTTTGCTTTCTCTGTCTCTCTTTTTTTCTAACCTTTCTTTCCACAGTTGAGGAGAAGGAGAAGGAGAAGGAGAAGGAGAAGGAGAAGAAGAAGAAGAAGAAGAAGAAGAAGAAGAAGAAGAAGAAGAAGAAGAAGAAGAAGAAGAAGAAGGAAGAAGAAGAAGAAGAAGAAGAAGAAGAAGAAGAAGAAGAAGAAGAAGAAGAAGAAGAAGAAGAAGAAGAAGAAGAAGAAGAAGAAGAAGAAGAAGAAGAAGAAGAAGAAGAAGAAGAAGAAGAAGAAGAAGAAGAAGAAGAAGAAGAAGAAGAAGAAGAATTTTAATTAAAATAAAACCATTTGGAGATGGAAGCCGGAAAAGAGAAGAACAGAGTTTGGAAGGAAAACTCACACTGGATAGAAACAGGGCGATTTGGAGCACAATCCTATCCATGCCTACAAGCTCTGGCTTGTTTTGTGGAAAAGATTAAAAAATTTTAAAATGAGTAATAATAAGACTAATCACGATGACGATGATGGTAATGAGGGTGCAGCTATTACTGTAAGTTGCATTAACGCTTTCTCAATCAATTTTACCCCAAGGGGGGAAAACTTAACAAAAGATGTGTGGACCTCAACATGTTGGCTGGGGAATTCTGGGGATTGAAGTCCATACATCCGAAGCTTGTGCAGGTTGAGAAACACTGATCTAAAAGCATCTTCTCCAACCTTCCAGGTAGAGTAAGACTACAAGTCTGAGGTTTCTTTCCCAGCAGAGGGCAGTTGGCTGGGAGTTATGGGTTTTGGGATCAACCTGCATATCCAGGCAAGGGCATTTAAGACCCTCTCTAAGAGGGAGAGTTCCCCCGTTGCATTTGGAAAGCAATCCGGATTCCACCCATTTCCAAAAATTCCTTCTTGACTTCCCCAGCATCCTCTGAAACAGAACAAAGCTTATCAACTACATGTAGTTGATTTGCCTAGTGACCTTTCAAAGTTACAATGGCACTGTAAAAGAGTGACTTACCACCGTTTTTTTACCCTTATGACCAAATAGTCGCCCTAGCAGAAGGGGGGGGTCACCAGTTGCGAAATTGCCACCAACTGGAAGAGCCTCTGAATGGGCGTTTTCTGGGGTCTAAAGGAATTGCTTCTCCTCCTCCTCCTCCTCCTCCTCCTCCTCCTTTAGGGGAACTAAGCAAAGCAAGAAGCCAAACCCAAGATCAAAAGCCCAAGAGGCGGAAGGCGGGCGGCAGAGCCCGAGACAAAGTCCTAACAGCTGGAAGGATCAAAAGTAAGGGGGTGACCTCGTAAAAAGAGATGGGGGTCACTCCGCTGCTCAGATGTCAGCGCCGAGAGAGAACAAAACTCTTTCAAAGAACTGCTTGAAGAAAAAGAATCGGCTGGGAGGAGAAGGGGAAGGCGATACTCCCGGGAGCAAATGTTGGTTGGGAGACCTCACTTTCAATTTACAAGACCTAAAACGGGAGGGGGGGAAGAGCGCTTATTCCAAGGCTATTCAGTGACCCTCCCCTTGAGTTCTCTCAAAACCCAGTGTTGTAAGTCAAGGACTACCTGTAAATACAGATACCCATAAATACAGGCAAATACCTGTAAATACAGGGAGTCGACAGTAATAGTAACAGGATCTTGGAGGTCATCCAGTCCAACCCCCTGCTCTCGCAGGAGACCCATAATTTTCTGTTGAGTTTTTTCTTAAAAGCTTTTAGTGTTGGGGGCACCCACCATTTCCAAAGGCAATTTGTCCCACTGGTTAATTGTCCTTGAGTTACAACAATTAATTTGTGGGCCATTTCAAGTCATAACAACTCTGAAAAAAGTGATTTATGACTAGGTGTTCACAGATACGACGACGGGTGCAGCATCCCCACGGTCACTTGGTCAAAATTCAGACGCTTGGCAGCTGACTCACATTTACGACGGTCACAGCATCCCGGAGTCACACGATCCCCTTGTGCGACCTTCTGACAAGTCAAGGGGGAAGACTGAGTCAATTTAACGACCGTGTCACTAACTGAGCCACCGCAGCGATTCACTTAACGATTGTGGCAAGGAAGGTCGTAGAATGGGGCAAAGCTCACTTAACAAACATCTCGCTTAGCGACATAAATTTTGGGCTCCATTGCGGTCGTAAGTCGAGGACTGCCTGATAAGAATGGGCTGCAAGAGTGGATGTTTGCCGAAAGAGATTATTACACGGGGGAAATTGTGTTTTGTGTCGATCGCCTCATCAGGGAATGGAGCTGTCTAACCAAGAGAGGAAGGTGATTGGCAGGAAAATGCAGGCACTTTTGGTTGAGTCTCGTATGTAAATATTATGTAAATATTATGAAAATATCATGTACGTTATGTAAATTGAGGGAAAATGGCGAGAAAAGAACCATATGTTACGGGTAAAACCGTGCAGAAAAATTCTTCTATTCCCCCCCCCCCAAACCGGTTCTCATTCAAGTTTGAGGAAAGAAGATTTGCTTTTAAAAGGAAAAGAGGATTTCAGGGTGTCACGCGCTGGCCCCTCATTGTCTGGAAAAAGGGCCTGAGTGGGAAACCTTTAATTGGGGGGAAGCTTTGGAACATGGCAATTTTGGAAAATGTAAAAAAAATAATAAAAGCCCGTTGCTTTGCTGTGTAGATAATTCTTTCGCAGCCTCAAGGGGTATTGCAGCCTGGAAAAAAAAAAAATTCCGACTTCAAGAGCTGCCAACAACATGGAAAACGGACAGCCAAGAGACAGCAACTCCCATCACCCTCAGCGAGTGTGATCACCATAGGCTGAAGGGGTGGCTACCAGCCATCTGAAAGCCATTATAATGGGTGGAGAAAAGCTGGACTCCAGCCTGGACAACTTAAAGATGGGCGGACTTCAGCTCCCACAATTCCCTGGCCAGCAGGGGGAATTGTGGGAACTGAAGTCCACCCATCTTATTTTCAAGCTGCCAAGGTCAACAAACATTATTGTAGACAGAGATTTATGAAGAGAGGCAGATCAGAACATACCAAGAATGCACCAAGATCAGATCCTGGAAGCATCTCAAAATCCGCCCCTTGAGAAAGTCGCAAGTCCAGCCAAGGACGATAATGCTAAAGTCCTCAGCTTGGGAGGTCTTTTGATATTGATGGTCTACAAGAGGCAACTAACCCTGGACTGGAATGTGGGGTTTCTTGGGTGGGGACGTACCAGCAAGCAGATTGTCAAAGGCAGTAGACTTTCAAGAACTTTGGTGACCACAAAGACAATCCATGAAATAGAAGTTATCTCCTACACTTTTCAGCAAAATTCCAGCTTTCTGGCCTGGAGGAGGACTTGGTGGATTGGCTGGCTGCAAACTCCAGATTTCCAAACTTTTAAACAAAGCCACATTCGTTGCATCTTTTGCTCTGAGGACATCTGAAAATAATTAACGCGCCTTGGATCGCTCTCAAAGATTTGCAACTAAACCGAGAAAGGATCAGGAGATGGGTAGATATATTGCAATTGTAGCAGACCTTCTTTGGAAACAGATGGAGAGAAGATGGCTCGGCCATCCTGCTTCTTCTTGTTTATGTCCTCGGTCTTCCTAAGCAGCAGCTTAATTTTTTCTTTCTTTGCCTCCCGTTCCACACCTACCTTTCTTCAACGTAGGTCAGCATTCCTCGTCTGACTCAGCTCGTTTTGAGTTTTCATGTTCTTCAAAAGAGTGCAGAGAAGAGCAACCAAGACGATTAGGGACCTGGAGGCCAAACCATACAATGAATGATTAAAGGAGCTAGGTATATCTAGCTTGTCAATGAGAAGGACTAGAAGTGACATTGATAGCAGTCTGCCAATATTTGAGGGGCTACCACAAAAAGAGGGGGGTCAACTTATTCTCCAAAGCTCCTGAAGGCAGGACAAGAAACAATGGATGGAAACTAACCAAGGAGAGAAGCAACCTGGAATGAAGGAGAAACTTCTGGATGGTGAGGACAATCAATCAGTGGAACGGCTTGCCTCCAGAAGTTGTGGGTGCTCCAACACTTCATCATAGAATCCTAGGGCTGGAAGGGACTTTGGAGGTCTTCTAGTCTAACCCAAGGCAAGTGACCTTATACCATTCCAGACAAATGGCTGTCCAATGTTTTCTTGAAGACCTCCAGTGATGGAGCATCCACAACTCTGGGAGGCAAGCTAGCAAAATGGCAACTACAGGATGCTGCAACCATTGTAAATGCACAATAATTGCAACGCAGCTGAATCATGATCAGCTGACCACAGGATGCTGCAATGGTCATAAGTGAGAGGACTGGTCATAAAAGGGGTCACCTCACTTAACAACTGCCTTTCGTAGCAAAAGAAATTTTGGGGTCAATTGTAGTTGTCAGTTGAGAACTATTTGTAGATATTTCTATTTATTTCTATCTTGCTGTTCAATATCAATATAACCAATAAATACGTTTTTTAAAGAACAGATGAAAACAAGTCAACCCAGCCCAAAAGGCACGCACGTTCTTAATCGGGAAAGGTGAAATTGAAAAAAGATTAAACCTCATAAATAAGACTGGTTTATGCTTAATTGAAATTGCTGGATTTTTCTGGTCATGGCTTCCTAAGTTTTGTCAATAACTTTTTTTCCCAATTCTTGGATTTTCTTGAGAGTTTATCTAAGCGATTCCAGTCTCATCTTTAGATGGAGCCTGGCCACATTTTCCATTCACTTCCCCAAATTGGTGCCTCCATCATGTCTTTATTAGTTCCAGATAGAAAATTATTCTGTGTTTTTTTTTCCTGTCTGTTTCCAGTCAGTTTGTGAGTTCACCTTGTTGCCAAATAAATTCTAACAAATCCATTTTGCGAACCTAACTGGCCAGTACAGAGATGCAAACAGCAACTGGCTGGGCGCCTTTCCTATCGTTTCTTTGTCCTTTTCCTTGCCATTTTTATTTTTACCAGTGTTTCCGCTTTACACATCCTTAGTAAGACCACACCTGGAATACCGTATCCAGTTCTGGATACAAAAAAGAGGTTGAGACTTTGAGAAAAAATTCAGAGAAGAGCAATTAAGATGATCCAAGGCCTGGAGACTAAAACATAGGAAGAACGGCTGCGGGACTTGTGTTTGACTAGTCTAGAGAAAAGAAGAAATAGGGGAGACATGATAGCAGCGTTCCAGTATCTGAAGGGCTGCTACAAGCCAGAGGGAGCCAGGTTGTTTACCAAAGCACCAGAGGGAAGGATGAGAAACAATGGTTGGAAACTGATCAAAGAGAGAAGCAACCTGGAATTAAGGAGAAACTTCCCGACAGTGAGGACAATTGCCTCCAGAAGTGGTGGTGCTCCATCACAGGAGGCTTTTAAGAAGAAACTGGACAGCCACTTGTCCGGGGGTTGGACTAGAAGACCTCCAAGGTCCCTTCCAACTCTATTCTGAATTTTCACAACCTTGGGAACTTTAGGATCCCCAGTCAGATCTCCAAGGTTGAGAAACACTGAATATTTTACAACAAGGCAAATACTAGCCAGCATGCAAGGGAATGGCAAATGTTGATTGGGAAAATAGCTGAAGTGCCACAATCCCACTCTTACCCTCCAGATCCCATTGCCCTCTACTCAGACTCACACACACACCCCTGCCAAAACACACACACTTTCACAATTGGTTAAAACCAACCCCAGGAATCCCAGACCCTTCTTTCCTTCCTCAGGTTTGGAAGAGAAAGACTTTGGCCAAGTTCTTTGGGAATTTGTTGGCTGTTCTGTTTTAATGGAGGGATTTGGGAATTCATCCTTTGGTTCAAGAATGCATCTTAGCTATGGCGGCAGAGGGAGCTGACTTTGTCTGTCTTCTTTTGCTTCTTTCCTCTCTCTCTCCCTCCCTCCTTCTACCCCTCTGTTTTTCTTCTTTCTTTGCTCCTTTACTTTTTGTTCCTCCTTTTCTCTCCCAGTCCATCCCTCCCTCCTTGCTCTCCTCCCTCCCTCCTTTCTTCTTCCCTTCCCTTCCTTCCCCTTCTTTGTTCAATTTCTTCCTCTCTTTTCTTTCTTGCCTTCTTCCTTCTTTCCTCCCTCCCTTCATCCTGTTTCCTCTCCCTTGTTTCCTTCCTTTCTTCCTCCCTCCCTCCCTTTCTTCGCTCCCTTTTTCTTCTTTCCTTCCTCCTTCCTTCCCTCTCTCCCTCCCTTCCCTCCCTCCTTTCCTCTCTCCTTCCCTCCCTTTTCCTCCCTCCCTCCCTCCCTCCCTTCCTCCCTCCCTCCCTATCTTCTTCCTTGCTTCTTTCCTCCCCCCTCCCTTTTCAGCCTCCTCCTTCTAACCCCCCCCTGCCCTCCGGTGGCTCCCTTCCCCTCCTCTTCCTTTCACAGGGGAGCGACCTGCTGCCAGGTGGGGCTGGGAGGAACATGGGGGGGGGGGTGGCAGGAGCTGCAGAGCTGCGATTAGAAAGACGCCTGGTCCAGATTCTGCAGAGAACAGGCGTGGGCATCGCATGTAGAAGTCAGCTACTATTTCATCTTCCTCCCTCTGCCCCTGAGCAGAGTGTGTGTGTGTGTGTGTGTCTTTCTCTCTCTCTCTCTCTCTCTCTCTCTCTCTCTGTGGTTTTCCTTCCCTCCCACTCCAGAAGGCAGGCTCATATGGTCATTCCACGAAGCGCCAAAGATGTTTCTGATCCCGGAGCCTTGGGACCCCCCAGCCTCCCCTCTTCTAGGCTGCTGATAATCCCATTTTGCTGAAAGGGCTCCGTCAGCACGCAAAGCACAGGGGATCCGTGATCCATGGCCATCTGTTTAATGGCGGCTCAAAGTTACAACTGCACCGGAAAAGTGACTTACGGCCGGTCCTCACCTTTATGACCGTCACGGCATCCCCACGGTCACGTCATCAAAATTCAGGCCCTTGGCAACTGGCATTATATACAACAGTTGCAGGATTGCCCTTTGAAGCTTCCCAGCCGGCTTCTGACAGGCAGAACCAGTGGGGGAAGCTGGATCCACTTAACGACCAGATGATCCTCTTAACAATTGTGGCAAAGAGGTTTTTTAAAATGGGCGTGATTCGCTTAGCAACGGAAATTCTGCTCCCAAATTCCCTGCCCTGACGATGTTACCTAGTTGGGTCATGAAACGCCTGCAAGAAGACCCCCCCCCAAACTCAGAGACCCCCAAGGAAACCACAGAAGAACAAAATTAATCCGGGGGGGGGGGGAAGCAGACCCACTTCATCGCTGAAGTCTCCACAAACCCTGATCTTAATTACATCACAGCTTTTATCTACCCGGCATCCTCCAAACACGTACAACTTCCAGAATTTGGGAATAAAAAAAAATAATTTGCAGAAATGGGTGAGCAATTTGCGTCTCGGAGGGTGGGCTAAGCGAGCCACGAGGGCTAGAAACTTGAACTTGAAGGATTGCAAAGGACAGGTGAGCAGCTTCAGGAAAGGAAAGGTGGTTTTCATGCCTTAGGTATGTTCCTCTCTCCGTGGCCTAGCCGTGTTGTGGACCCCCCACCCCGAGAGGGGCTCAGTCGGTACACCGCACACCCCAGTTCGGTGGGGGGTCCAGGTAAGTCCAGGCTGGAGTTGATAAGCCTGAAAAACTTTCTCCCAATCTCTTGATCTCTCCACGGTTTCGGCGCCCGCGTCCAGAGGCGGTTGCCATAACAACCGTTCGCACTCTGGCATGCAAATGAATTGCAATTTTATTAGCGTGCTGAATTTTGATGAGAAGGACAACCTTGCCCGATTCGTGTGCGGCAGGAGATGTGTGCGTGTGTGTGTGTGTGTGTATGTGTGTTCATTGCGTGTGCGTAAGGGGAGCCGAGTTCTAATGTACCTTCTATGTACACATAGACACACAAACTCACAATCCTACCTGCATGGTGGGATGTGACTATGGGTGTATATTTAGTGCACCAGCCAAAACGGTCAAAAATGTTATAGTTTTGCACGCCTGGATTTATTCAACAACAAAAGAGAAGGCACTCTGCACGCGCTCTGAAGCTTCTTCCAAGCCACCATTGCCATGCTACTAGTGGAACAATTGTGGTGGTTCACTTAATAATTGTAGGCAGGAACGGTTGCAAAATGGGGCAAGAGTCACTTAACAACTGTCTCACTTACCGACAGAAATTTTGGGTCCAGTTGTGGTCGTAAGCCGAGGACTGCCTCATCACTGCAATACTCAGGGTTTTGCAAACTGCTCGCTTAGCAGCACGAAACGGGCCTGTTATAGGGAGTCCTCAAGTTATGACCACAATTGAGCCGAAGGTTTCTGTTGCTGCACGAGACAATTATTGAGTTTTGCCCCATTTTACAACCTTTCTTGTCACAGTTGTTAAGTGACTCACTGAGTGACAGATTGTTAAGTGAATCTGGCTTCCCCATTGCTTTTCAGAGGGTCACAAAAGGGGGCCGGTGACCCCCCTGGCACTCTGCGACCGTCATAAATATGAACCGGTTGCCCAGTGTCCTAATTTTGTTCATGTGACCTGGGGATGCTGCACAGTTGTGTGAAAAACGGTCACAAGTCTCCGTTTTCAGGGCCACAATTAGGACCAGAATCTCAGATGCTCAACGAAGCGGTTGTTAAGGGGATTGCACCCCAGTTTTGCAACCTTTTGCCACTTAGCAAACTTTGCTGGTCAGAGGTTTGTGAAAGGGGTCACGTGGACCCCGGTAAACACACGCTGGTGGTCAAGTGCCCAAATTTTTATCACGGGACCGCAGGGATGCTGCGATGGTCAGAAGAGCGAGGACTGATTGTGAGT